TGATTTCCAATGCATTGGTCGGTGTGTTTCCTGCACCGCTGAATAAGAAGCACCGGTTAAAGTTTAAACTCGGTGCCCAATATGTATAATTCCGAATTATCTATCGGATTTAGGTCCTGGGTCCGGATCCGGTCCGCCAGTTGGGGACCCCTGATGTAGACTCAGGGAGCCGCAACAGAGAGGTTGAAGAGCCGCAGGTTGCCGACCCCTGACTTAACCAATCATATTTGACTATCGTTGAATTATGTTTTTTTTGTTCACTGATCCACCTCTGTTTGAGTTTAATTCATCTCTCAAAAAATATCATAAGCAGCAATATGTTTGCTGCAATGTTTGTTGTGTGTTGGTGTGGCGCTAGTACTGAAACTGAGCAGAGGAGACACAGACAGACAGACAGACAGACAGACAGAGAGAGACACACACACACAGACAGACAGACAGAGAGAGACACAGACAGAGAGAGACACAGACAGACAGACAGAGAGAGACACAGACAGACAGACAGACGGAGAGAGACAGACAGACAGAATGGAATTATCCTTTGTTTTTTAAACACATTTTTCTACCATAGTCAAATCCGGCTCTAGATCCAACCGTTCAATAGTCGAGGATTCAGGCTCACCTTTAGTTCACACTTCTCTCTCTTAGCCTCTCTCCCTCACTGTTTCCTCACTTTAGTTTATCATCTATGCAGTTACCTCTGACGTTTGCATGGCAGCAATAACAAAACACCTTCTAGTTTCTAATGTAGAATAAATGCATTGTCTCACAATCTGGTTTATTTGAAGAAAACCCCGTTGACAAGTGGAAAGGTAAAAGAAAGTGTCTGGTTACTTTGAAATTTAAAATTCCAAAAGCTATTTTGGCTTGTTATCAAAAAGAAAAAGGGATTCGGTGGCTGCAGATTGCCACCAACTGAACAACCCTGCGCTAACTCCTCCTTTTCCAAGACTGGTAACGTTAGCCGTCGAGTGCAAAACCATGGTAACACCGTTGTCCTCGCTCAGGCCATACATACCATAATAACACAACTTCAGGAGCAATGGAAGTCAGACAACGGCTGGTTGTACCCTGGTTTTGCACTCTGCGGCTCACGTTACTGCAGTTTCATGCAGTGGTCTTCAGCTAAGGTAAAAACGCTTTGATGCTGCCGCTTTGTCACGCACCTCCTCGTCTGACACCAACGCACAAGAAACCCTTCAGTGTCTGTACCAGACGCACCAGGCTTTCAAGGTACTTCAATGTGAATCCATCTTCATCATTATTGGACACTCAGAGAAAAGGCTCCAGGAGTGTGATGACATAGTATAAAGACCAATAAAGCCACACAGGGAGTGAGGTGAATAGGTCAACACAGGACCTTCACCCAGGAGACCGGTATTCGTGTCCCAAAGAGTTAGTTTCATGTTTTTCATACTTATGTTACGTTGTTTTCATTTTACTTAGTTTACCTGCATATTTTGATATTTTTCCTAAACCTAAGTGGTTTTGCAGTGCTCCGCAGTTGAGCGCCATATTGTGATGTGCTGGACTACCCAGTGCACCAGAAAAGTGACGACAAGGGTCCTGACCAAGACTCAGCATGGGACGAGTTGGGATGAGAACGTGTTCAGAAATTTGTCAACCTGGTCAAAACGGTCATGATTATATTGATTCATGATATCACCAGCCTGGTTGTACAGATTTAGGAGGCAGTCGTGGCAAGAAGAGCAAGCCTCCCACAGCATTCGCAAAACTTCACCGAGAACACTTGTTTCTATTGTCATGAAAGTAATCACAGTAGCTGTTCGAGCTAACATAATAGCATATCTTTGGTATGTAGGAGCTACCGTGTGCTGTGTTTGAGATGGTTCCTGTTTCCTCTCAGTTGTTCGTTCGCTGCAGGAAGCTTGGACTCTTTGTCCACATCAGGAACACTGCCCAGATGTGAGCAGTGTTTCATGTAAAGCCAAGTGTTTTGATACCAAAACCAGGAAGCAAAGATATCATTTCAGTAAAGAAACAACAAGGAATCAGTTAAAAGTCATTGGTCATGTTTGCAAGAGCCGAGCAAGTCCACAAACAAAATCACTGCTTTAGTTACTGATATTTTCATACACATTGATGATTTAAAGTTAGTTTTAGGGGCAATGACTTTAGGTCCCTCAATATTTGATTCGGCACCTGAGAAATTGGCCTGCAACTTGAAAACGTTAATTGCATGAATTCATTTGTAACCCCATCAGGCAGGTTGGAGGGTGCTAATATTAAGACCTAGACCCTTTTTCTGTTAAGGAAAAATGTAATTGGTTTTTAAAGAAGTTTCTATGTTTTGTTTATTGACGTGTCCTGGTTAGAGATCAGAGTTAGCCCCATGTGAGTCAGCAGCAGTATGATAGTCTCATGGCAGTGCTAACGTTCAAGCTGTTGTGCCTCAGACTCAACCTCTGGATCCATTCAGTTCACAGTTGACTCAATTCAGAGTGTAAATTGAAAATTCCTTTGAGCTAATAATGGAGCAGTTTTCTCAATAAACTGGATTTGATATGAGACGCCTTTTAGGGCAAAGCGCTTCCCTTTAGAGTGCGAAGAGAGTCCTCTTCCTCGACTCAATGAAGTGAAAGTGAATTACTCAAGCGCTCAATGACAAGATATAAGATATAAGATATAAGGAATATTAGAGGTTGTCTGAGGTTGCGTTTGTGAAGCCGTCGAGCTTAAGGACTCATTTTAGAAATCCAGTACGCTTTGAGAGTTCAGAGAGAGTTCCAAACCGGGAGGAGGTTTTATATCAGGCCGGTAGTTCAGCAAGTTCCATAAAGATGTCAGAGCAGAATGACACTCTTTGACCAACAGTCACCCAGCATCATGAAACACCTTGTGTTTGATACTGCCACGTATTAGGGCCATTGTAGGTTCAAGAAAACGTGATAATTCCCTGTCATTGGTAGCAAATGTTCAAGAAACAAACAAGAAATAAAGAAAGTCAGAACTTTATGAGAAAACAACTTGGAAGCATAGTGGGAGTTTAGAAGCGTGGTAATGCCAGCCGTCTGACTGTCGCTGCTCTTAAAGCAGTGTTATTATGGTATGGATGGCTTCTGAGTGAGGAGGAGATCCTGGAAAGTACATACATGTTCTCTTTCATCTTCTTTAATAATGAAAGTAAATAAATGTTTCTATTGTAGAAGTTACAGGAAAGCAGAGACAAAGAACTTCTATCTTTGACTAGACGAAGGAGGATGTCTTGTACGTCAGCCTGGAATACCCTGCTGCCCCTGTGACCTGGGCCCGGATCAGGGGATGGATGGATGGAGAGTCCGCTACCATATGATATATTTTAACACTAACAGTAACTGTGGTGTGATGAGGTTCATCCATACTTGCAAAGTAAAGCAATTTGGTTCCTTAAAATAAAAAACATCACTAGGTTTTAGCACTCCACTCAATTTTCATTCCACTCAGATTTAGTTTCTCTGTCATGACTTTTTTTCCCAAACATTTTTTCTGAATCTTACCCCCCCTCCCCAGCTCCGTATTTTATTTTAATTTTTTACATTTTTTCACAATTTTCATAATGTTTTCTGCTTCATCCGTCCGTCCCTTCTTGTGAATGCAATATCTCAGGAACACCTGGAGGGAAGTTCTGCAAATATGGCACAAACATCCTCTCAGATTTAAGGATTAATTGATTCGAATTTTGTGGCAAAAGGTGACTGTGACCTCACAAAACCACATGCCGATTATGACAATGTAACACAAATGTCTAAGAGGATAAAAATGAGGAAGTGATGAAGTGGAAACAACCGTGAGGCCACAGTGGATGAAGTTGTAGGGTCTCCTTTAAGAGGCGTGCTAATCTCTCCCCTCTCTGGTGCGTGGCTGTGTAGCCTTGGAACAGCTACATTTATTGTGAAGTCTGTTCATTTACTGGGTTCACAGAGCTCATGCGTGAATATCAGGTGTCTTGGGAGGACAGAATCCTACATGCGTCACCTGCTTTGCTCTATTGTCACGGAGCATGAAATCAGGAATCTCAGGAAAAAAAACTTGACTTTCTTTCATGCAATCAAAACAGTTGATTTAAAAAAAAAAAAGACAAAATCAGTTCCCATCACCACCCTTGATGTCTCTCTTAAACGTAAATATAAAGATCTACAAGTACCTGACAGACCATCAACTCCATGAGTCAAAGTTTTCACCTTTGTGTCTCTGGTCAATAAAAAGTATGGAGAGTTTTTAACATATCACTTCCCTCAGACTTCCCCATGGCTGTAGCAGAGGCTAACTACGCTCTTATAGCCACGTAATCATAACCATCGTTTCTAATGAGTCAGACATGTGAGTCCATCTCTTTTGTGTCTTTTGTGATCTTATGATCTACATAAGATCCTTATCCTCAGCCGCCTTTACGTCACATCTGGCAGCAGCCTGCTGTTCTGCAGCACATCTCGTCATCGCAGACTGTCAGATTCATTATTAAAATTACAATAAGGAGACAAGAATGCACAGGCTTGAATTGTGTCTCGTTCGCCTGAGGGGAAGCCGAATATTTTTACATTACAGCTGAAAGTGGCGTGCCACAGCCCAGTTTATGTTCCGTCATCTTTTCTCTCTTTTATTTGGGAAGGTGGTGGTTGAGAACCCCTGTTTAGTTTAGGAAGTGTGAATGCCATGATGATGAGAGGTGTGTGAGGCTCTGACTGTTGCATGGACAGAGGTGTGGAATGGGATGTTTTTCGGCCCATGATTTTATTATGTTTCATCCATAATTTTGGCAGGACTTGGCATTTGACCGCACTGAGTGTCTCAGATTATGCGAGCGCGGTTGGGGGGCCGTCCTCTTCCAGCACCCGTTCCACTCGGGGTGAAATTGCATCGCCCTCGCTCTCGTTCACACAGAACCGTGACGAGAAATTCCATAGAAGGATTAGTCATGCAGTGGCCCAGCGGTATTGACAATGGAGGTGGATTTTGCTATGCTTGAATTTCATGCTTGTTTGTGTCCATCTTTGTCGCAGAGGACCAGATCCCCCACGGCTTCCCCACCATCGACATGGGGCCCCAGCTGAAGGTCGTGGAGAGAACGCGCACGGCCACGATGCTGTGTGCGGCCAGCGGCAACCCCGACCCGGAGATCTACTGGTTCAAAGACTTCCTGCCCGTGGACATCGGCAGCAGCAACGGGCGCATAAAACAGCTGCGTTCAGGTAAAGCACTCATCTCGACATGTTGGGAGTCTCTGTACGGCAAGCGGTGCCATTAGCTGAGTGATACCTGACCATTTATACCGGGTAGGATTCGGTTTACAAAATCATGGCCCACATGGGACATTGACAGGTTGAGGGGTACCGATGCACAAAAGATATAAGTCAAAAAATAACAACACTTAAATTAATTGATTGATTTTCAGAAGGCAAAACGCACAATAAGCTCGGGATAGAAATAAAAGGGTTCCAACTTAGATTGCAGTGATTGCCCCGAGCAGCACCTGTGCGGGAGCAGCGGCGTGCCAACAGTGCTCAACCCTCCACAGACAGTGATGAATGTTAACGCCGAGGCTGACCGTGTGAAGCGGGCTCTGTGAGGAGGTGGCCGGGGTCCAAGGGAGCAGAGAGGGCATCTTTCTCCGCCAGAAACCAGCTCGCAGCAGAGCTGGACGGCTGCTGGCTAAGCAACACGCACACACCCTGTCAGCTGCCCTTTCTCTCGCTCTCTGTGAGGAAATAGAAACGTTCGCTCCTCGCCAAAAAAGTTGCAAGCACCTACGCAACATCAACTTTCCCCGCCAGCTCTCGCAGCGAGAGTCAGAAGCAGGTTTCCCCCCTCCTCCTCTCGTCTCAACGCTGACAGACAGGCTCTAGGATATCACTGGCTTTGAAGTCCACTCTGAAGAGTTTTTCCCATGTGGCAGTCTGGGCCTTAGGTAGGGACAAACACGCCATGTATTATTAACCAAATAGCACGGCAATTTGTTTCAATTTGTTTCATAGGGCCCTGTCGTCACATGCAGTCCCACAGCAGCCGAGCACAGATGGCTGACTTCCTTTAATGAAAAACCGGAGTTATCCTGTGCCACACAAGGCAAAGGGAAAATATGTAGCCGTGTGCAAAGTCAGCACTTTGCAATTATTCAATGTATTTGTTTCAATAGAATTCATTATATAGAGGAGTGATTGGATTTGCTCCTGAATTAGTTATTCCTATTAAATGACTTTGATCCATTAAGAAACACTAATAGCTTCATTTTTCAATTTGAGACCTTTGCTCTCTTTCGGAAAAAGGAAGAAAAAAAAGTCCTCTGGCTTCCTTTGGTGCTCCAGAGCTCAACTGTCTGCAAGTAATTAGAACCCAAAGCTTGCGCATTGAAGAGGGATTTGATCCAGACCAGCGATGGACACTCTGGGTGCTGGACCAGCGAGCTCTGTGACTGCCAGCCCGGGATCTGAAAGCCCAGGACCATGGGAAAGAAAGCAGAACAAAGCTCTTCTCCTGATTCTCAAACACAGTAATACCTGTGTGTTTACACTGACCACAACACCACCAGTTACCGAAGACTTTATTTTCAAGATTTTTCTTCTTTTTGTCAGTACTTAAAGCAGAAAACTCCAGTGGCCAATGTGTGGACAAAGGTGGCCCCAGCTGAATTATCCATATAAATCTGTTTGTCGCTCGAACTTGTGCGTTTGAACTCAGCATCAGCACCAGCTTTTTAACTGTAAGCCTAAACTGAACTCCAATAGTCAATTAGCTTCTGCTGTGACGAAGACGTAGCCAACCATGGCACGTAACAAACTGTACATTTTGTACCGCTACACCAATAAAAATACTGGATCACACAATGGAAACAATAGACAAACAAAGAGTTATTTCCTGCCTGGTAAAAGCACGTGTCTTTCAAACTCCATGCCCCCCAGTGTGTAGCAAAGGCTTTCGGTTTTCAAGTTGTAGTCTACAAGCCCAAGCCTAGATAGTGACATCCCTACGACGTCATCAGGGTTATTTTCTCAGATTGGACAAAGCTCCTCCAGGGCCACAAAATACAAACTGTTTTCAGAGGCTCAGTAGTACTATGGCAAGAGAACTGATAGTGGTGTATGAACTCAATGGAGGTCCCCTCTAACAGCCAATCACGTTTCCATGGTAAGTGGACTACACACTGGCTACCATGCATGGTGCTCGCCAAACATCAGCAGCAGCTTGGGGTTCAGTTTCTGACCCCAAGAACACTTCGCCATGTGGACAAGAGGAGCTCCACCATCCACATGATGGGATTTTGTTTCGATTACATTCGTTCTGCTTGGAAAGGGCAAAACAGAAAAAAATATGGATGGAAACCACGCACCATCAGTTCATCATCTAAGTTGCTAAGTTCTCAAATGAAATATGAGGGCTGTCAATTCAGTACCTAACTTTGTTTTGGATGGACGCTACAACGGACAAAAAACCCTCCCAATCCAGACATTGTGAAAATATAATAAAGTCATATTATTTTTCACAATGAAACCCCACAAACCTGTCATGACACCCTGGTTTCATGCTGTAGAGGCGCGGGATTCTTCCGGCTGTGAGAAGGCCATGGAGGGAAGTCATGGCAGGTCTCAGTCTTGCCCAGCCCGGCCCTCTGAAAGCTGCTGATGTCCCCCTTCATCAGACCCCAGGGGCCACACAGCTTCCAGGGCCCCCCCCCCCTCCCTTCTGCTATCTCTCACCACCTATCTGACACTGGAGAGCGGCTTGGTTTATCATCCAGATCACCGGCATCTGCATGGTAACCAGCCCTCCCTCTGCCGTTTGCTGCATGTGACCTGATATGCCCAAATGGTGACAATAGCTAAAGATTCCCTACACCAGAGATATGCAAGATTATAGGAGGAAATGCTACTACTGTGTTTTCACAATGAATACTAACAGGGCTGAACGATTAGTCATTTTTAAAATTGCGATGTGAGAATCATAAGCTAACCCTAACCCTAAGCTGCAATTTTAATTATATAACCTGTTGTGAACAGTGTCCTAATAAGCTGAAGCAGGTGCAAGGTTTAGTTGGTGACCCAGACTTTCCATCAGCTGTAATGACAACTGCTGCCAGGAAATGTATTGAACTGTAGCTAATTCAAATTAATTCTGTGAGATAGTCAAACAAAAGCAAAAGAAAGGGATCTAGGCTGCTGTCTGCAATATGCTCTCTGAATGCCAGGTGTCTGCACTACTAGGAGGGCGGCAGACCTGTTTTAGTGCAAGAACACCAAAGTGTTGGGGCTTGCTTCCGATAAATGATCTAGGCATCAACAACTTGTTTCTGGAAGTGTTGATCATTTTGACTTTGTTTCTTAGAAATGAAATGTTACCCAGACAGCCATTGCCGTGGAGAAGAAACGAGTTAGGGTTAGGGTCAAATGAAACACAGCGCTTTACTCGCTGAATTTATCCAACATGGATCCACAATTCAAAAGTCAATTGATTTAAGCTGCAAATTGGCTCCTTGGGAGTTGTAGTTAACTTCTTCCTCCAACTTTTCATTTATACAAGCTTGTCGCTTGCGACTGGGTTTACAGTAGTTGTCAAGTATAAGCAAGCAGCCTGTGGAGGGAATGTCAGAATCTCCCGCTAAACTGTCAAGCAGGGCTTCATTTCCAGCTTGATCGGTAAATGTGTCTATAGAAAAATCGACCAGTTTTTACAGAATTTGGAAATCAAGCACAGCATCACTCTTGATGTCTGGTTGTCTGGATGTCTGGTCTGGAGGACCCCAGCCAGAAGCAACCACACTATTTTATCTGATTGCACTGGGTACACACATAACTTGTTTGAAAGTGCTGTAAGCTTGATTCATAGAAAATAACAGCCATAAAAATTGGAATATTGGTTGCAATTAGATATTCTCCTCGAATCGTTCAGCCATAAATGGTGCACGGGGGAAAATGCCGGCACAAGATTAAATGTCCCGAATGATATGACAACTGTGATAAAAATACATCAATAGAACACTAATTTTGGAGCTTAATATTATTATCCACCATCAAGGCAGCGACATTGCAGTGTATTCCAGGACACGAGTGCAGGTTTCTTTGAATTGCATCAGAAGGAGATCAGGCAGCTAGTGTTCTTATCTACCCGGTTACGGCAGGATGCAGGAGACAGAACCAACATAGGAGTGTTGGTGGTGAATGAGGGGTCAAGTGCTTGATAGCCAGGTGCTGTCAGGAGAAAAAAAAGAAAAAGCAGGTGTGGGGAATCAGGAGCTTTATGATGACAACAGGATGCCAGCTCTGTGGAGCAAAAAGCCAGGTGTATCAAGCAAATAAGCACCGTGTGAAAGTAAATAACCAGGTGCACAAATGACAGACGTAGCTGAGGTATGAATGCATATATTATTTACACCATTTTGTGCTTGTGGGAAAAAAAGAACACGTTTGTACAGGAGAAAAGGGTTTTCACCAAGAAAAAAATCTTTTGCACAGTTCTCATTTATTAAATTGATTTTGATTGATAATGATGAGGAAGTGTTTTTCTCACTTTCAGCTAACACTGAAACACGTTGTTTTAATGAAATGGTGACAATAGCAGTCGCTCTTATCTCGGCTGTTCCTCCTCTCTTTGCTCTCCTGCCATTCTTGTCTTTCTCTGTTTCACTTCTTTTTTTTTTCTCTTAATGCTAATGGTTATCTCTAATCTTATTTGCATTCAAATTACCTCACCAGGTGGTACACCAATCAGAGGTAAGAATGCTGGGTACAAAAGAAGTCTTCTCATCCTCCTCCTCTTCACTGCCCCCTCCCCTCCATCGCCTTTGTCCTCCTCCTCCTGTCACTTTCAGTGTGTCCCATTTCCAGCCCTCCGTCCACTCTTTCTGCCGTCACCACATTCTTCAGGAGCGTGTGTGGGCTTGGGAGAGATGGAAACAGTAGACAAGTACTCACTTGCTAGTGATTATGTTCTCAAATAAAACCACTGACGATAGTTTACCTCGAAAGCTTACAAGCCGATGTTCCTGCCGGAACGCTCTCACTCCCAACCCGCCAAAAACCAGCGCTTGGTCTGTGCTCCTAAGCTTCAAACTATGACGTATGTCCTAGGCACCCCGTTCGCTTCAGTTGTGGACGTAGCAGGGATAAGGTGTCACTGTCAATATACTCTTGTTACATGGGTAGCATCTTTTCAAAATAAACTTCCGTCTTAACAGGAAGTTAGGTTTGGGCAACCAAATCGTTTAGTTAGATTACGATTGTGGTTGACGGTAACTTGACTGACTAAAGACTTATTATAATACTAACAACTCACGTGAGGAAATAAGTCAATGTTGGTTTTACATGAGACACAAAGTCCTGTTTGTTTGACCCAACCATTCAACCCGTCCTTCCACTCTCAGCAGACGTTATACATTACTTCATTTGCTTTGAGCTTCAAATAATGACGTGGATGGATTTATATCGGAGTTCTTAAAGCCCAGTGCGTCTCATAAAGATGCTAAAGGGTGCCTCGGTACGTCAGTATCAGACCGGTATTAGACGAGTTGGGAATGAGAACAGGTTGTTCCTCTGCTCATTTGCAGGCAGCAGTGGGCTAACAAAGGGTTAGCACTATGCTAACAAACACCATTTACCATTAAGTGGAACAAAAAGTCGCTTGTTGGAAAATGATTTCATCAGGAAACCAGGGAACAGAAACTAGCTAGCCAAACGTAACAGGTTCTTATTCTGGTTGTGTTCACGTCTGCTGTTAAATGTTTGGTGCAGTTTGTTCAGTCTGTCAATCTTAGCCACTCGGGTTCACCTCTACATGGTGGTCTTAGGTTCACCAGGACCAGAATAATGTGAATTTTGGTTGAATTTGTCACATCAATTAGAGTCTAAAACTACTCACCATACACATTCAGTATCCATTCAGGCCTACCAACACCACAAACCCACGCTGTGAAAGAGCTCACCTTCACACTGTGAATGCGGCGCTGAGAACGCAGTGTGAAAGTGTTGCTCACTCTGATCCAATAAAAAGTACCTAACAGCACAAGCTCCAAAATTCTCTAACTCTAGCGAGAAAGTTGCCAACTGACAGGCCTTCCTCCAAAGCCACTCCCCCGAAATGATCACAATAAACGAACAACGTCCAATCATTTCATTCAGGCCGTATGAAATGATTGGACGGGCTTATTACAGTCCTGCGACAGCCACAGATAAGGTATCTTTTAAATTTGATTTCTTGATTGCTTTTGGGACGTCAGGCGATAAAGAAAGCATTCAAGCCCTGTTAAATATAACTTTATTTGCCGTCACCATTATAAACCTTTTTCTCAGCCGTCTGTGAAGGGTCACCAGATGTAGCCATTAAACTAAGTTTCTTTTTAGTTCTGGTTCGTGATATCTTCGCAGTGACATACAAATATACAAGACATTTATTGGTCAGCACTCATCCAGCACCTTCAACACAAAATGGACTGATGAAGAAAACTGCTCAAATACATGAAGTAGACAGAATCACAATACATTATCTATTTAACTCTGTTTCACTTCAATGTATCAGGGGACGAGCCCCACACGCGTTACCATGGTTGCCCTTACAAGTCACTTTGTGAGACGTTTCCATGATTAGCAGGTGGACTAAATACCAGCCTAGTACTTGATTTACATCTGATAAAAGTACGTTTTCAGGGATCACATCTTCAACCAAAGAATTTTGCTGCACAGTCTGATCTGAAGTAGACCCAGACCCACTGCTTCAGGTGGTCTTAGCTTAAATGTTTGGTCTGGAGCAGAGTATTGATCGACAGCTTTTCAATCTGCCTTAACAAACGGAACCAAATGGGCGAACTGCACCACAACAGGTTAGGTGTGAAAGCACCTTAAACCAAACCATATGTGAACACATATGAATGCTCAGCTGCTAATGTAGATGGCACTGGCCTCGGTCATTCCAGTGAGCCGGGTCATGGAAGTGAGTCCAGTAAGATAACTCTCAAAGACTTAGTAGTCTGCAAAATGCTTGTCGTCAAGGTGTAAATGTTTGACCTCCCTGTCTGCACGCCGTCCTTCGGCAGCTGCAGAGAGAGGAAACACACGCTCAACGTCTGACGGCCGGGGGAAGTTTTGTCAGCTTCTAACATTTTCGTTCAGGCCTTCATCTGCAAGAAGTCACACACACCTTCTCCGGCAGCACTGGTTAACTTTGTTCACGCCAAGAGGTCAGAGCAGACGTCATCTGTTTTTGCAAATCTCAGGAGAGAACGAAGCATTTTCTCCTAAAACGCAAGAGTGTGCAATGAGATAAACAATCATCGCACAGTGTAAAGTTTGAATAGATAACTAGAGAAAGATATCTCTGCTGAGATACACTACTTCACACTTGTCTACAGTGACTGACTCTCAATGGGAGCTGTTTCGTTATCGTTCTGACGGGATGTCTTGTGATATGTAGGAGAAAGGCTTGCCCACATGCTGTCTGGGTGTGGGTGTGTGTGTGTGTGTGTGTGTGTGAGAGAGTAGTTTGAGGACACGCATCCCAGATGAAGGTTGCTCCTCCTCCATCTCTGGGCTCACTGTCTGCACCAGACTCACCAGGGATGTTTCCACACGCACATTATCTTCAACCACTGATTCTTCTTAAAAGTAGTTCATAACATTGTGTTACAAACCCATCCCATGTTACATTTCAGGATTGTATTCTGAAATATGTACATTGTTAACCTGTTTTTTATTTTTCACATTTCTTATTGTCCACGGCAAAACTGCATGATGTATGTTACATTCACTGCCGATATGAAATATTGCATAGTCGCTAAGAACACATTTATGTTCTCTATCTCAAACCTAACGTCTCTACTGATAACTAATTATGAAATGTTTGCATAAATGCTATGGAGTTGTTATGAAATGAATGGATTTAAATCACGCTGCCAGGTAAGTTTTATCTTTCATTTCCCCCAAAATGAAAGCTCTTAACAATATCGTTAGCATACATAAAGATTGCTTTTAGAGCAGTGATCATTGGAGGGTTTGCTAAAGGCCTCCACCAATCAGGGCATTTAACATATCTCTGCTCTTTTTGGATTTAAGCAATACAGTGTCTTTAAAGTTGTTACAAGGAACTCTTAACTGAAACAGTCTCAATTTAATACTGATGCCTTTAAATGACTTATGCAAATGAGATCATCAGAGGGAAGATTGGCTATTTCTATATAGTTATTTAACAACATTCAGGAACATCAGACGAAACAGTTTCACCGGAACCATCTTCAGACTCCAGCAAAGCCTCCAGTCAGCGACCAGGCTGAAGACCCGCAGTAAAAGTTTTCAAAAGAGAGTCCGGCAGCTGCAGATCTTTACAAAACAAGGTGTTGGTGCTCATACAAGCACTACCGCTTTTGTCCACAGGGGCCACCAAAATCAACACAAAATAAAGGTTCCTTCTAGTAACTTTAATTACATCTTATGTGCCAGAACTGTAATGTTTCTCTCTGCATGTCCTATTTGTCACTTTGGAAAAACCCCTAAAAAGTTTTCAGACCATCCTAAGACAGTTTGCTGAGAGCTGTTGGGACAAAGTCTGCTCCACAATGTGTTCAAAAACCTTTTACTGGAAGGTCTTTATACAGTATGTAGACTTTGAAGAGAAAGCTTCTATCATCCACCAGCTTAAAAATAATTTGTTTTCTATGATCAGGTGGTAATATGACAATATCACATAGAGCAACTACTAACTGTTTCATGCAGTGTATAGAAAATGTAATGGTTTATTTGAAACATCTGAGCCAATGAGCACTTAGATCAGTCATTTCCAAAAATGCATTTAGAGATAATGTTGGTGTTTGATGTGAATAACTTCCATGAAAGCACCGAACCAACAATGAGTTAGTGTGTTGCTCAATACCTTCCCTGCCTGCTCTGTGGCTTTCAGCACGAAGCCAAAAAATGACTCACACATATTAAGTTTCATCCAAAAAAGCTAAAAGATGTCCAACAAGCCCAACATTCTACAGCCATGCCAGAGGCTCTGTGAGACAGCTGTAGATTAATTCAGATTTTGTGTGCAATTGACTATTTAGGAAAAAAACTACAGTGCCTGTGATTGTAGTAACCAAGGGCCATCCCACCCAGTGCAAGAACAAGAAACAGTAGGACTTTACCAATTAAGCTTCTGCACACTACTATTGTGACACTACAGCAAGTAGTAGCAACCCAGTCCCTTGAAAAACATGTTGTCGTTGAAAGTTTCTACAAACCACGTGATACGCTGAATGTCGACATTTCTGAACCAAAAACACTTTTCATATCATAACGATGTCATGTGGTTAACACTCGGTTAGGTTTAGGCAACAATACGAGTTGGTTAAGGTTAAAAAAACGTTTGTGTTGAATTAGTGATGTAACGTTGTGACGTTAACAATGTAACGTGACAACGTAGCTAGCTTAAATACATAACAACTGCCCTTAGTTGACTGTCTTACGTAGTAAGTCAACGTTTACTTTTGGTTTCACACAGGCCATGAGCAGTGGTCTCCTGAGTGAAAGTCTTGTGTTTGTATGACCCATCTACCACCTGTTCCACCCACCATTGTTTGACTTTCTCACTTGTTATACTCGTTATCATGCCACGTTATCAATAACGGTCTCTCGTTGTACTACATAACTCACTCTGACTGAATGCAAAAACGTCCTCCTTCAATGTGTCCATCGTTTGCAGAAACTTAGAATGTCAACATTTTTTGCTGGCAACTGGGCTGAGCAATGAGCAAGTTGGATAGAAGTCCTGGATCATCTTGAACAAACCTGATAATATTTGGTCGTTGCCATGAAGATATAGCTTAGTCCACCAGATAATAAATAACAGGAAGAAACATAAATGCTGAATGATATCTTAAAGGTACAGAATGAAAACATGTCAAAGATAGGGACAGTTAAGGACTAGTGTGTGTATGTATCTGATTCATATTACACCACCATCATTTCTCTCGCTGTGTGTGTGTGGTAGTTTGAACGTGTGCGGTGCCGACTTGGACTCTGACATTCTGCCCTCCCTCCCCAGGAGCGCTTCAGATTGAGAACAGCGAGGAGTCGGACCAGGGCAAGTACGAGTGCGTGGCAGTCAACAGCGCCGGGACTCGCTACTCTGCTCCTGCTAACCTTTATGTTCGAGGTAAGATCCCTCTTGACCCCCTCCCCCCGCCGCCGTTCAGGTCGCCGCCTCCAACGTTAAGGTCCTTTCTTGTCACCTCTTCTACACCGACGCTCTGCCTCCTGACTGCTAATAGGAACGCTGGATTCAACTGCAGTGAAAGTCAAACCTGTTGATGCCCGTCCGGTCTCTGCTGTCACACTGTCATTTCCTGCTCTCTCTATCTCCCCTTCTGTCTGGTCTTTGTCTCCTGGGTACTGATTTATGTATTTTGCTACAATGTTAGTTTGCTTGACCTGGCCAACCTCACAGTGTTTTGTGAAAGAGAGGTTGGCTGTGGCTCCTTCTCTTTGTTTCGGGGAAGGTGGAAGTTTACATGTGGAGTCTTGCCACAAAGAGAAGCCAACACTGCTCGCCCTTGTACGTCCCGTGTCGGAAAAGACGGGCAGGAAATTTCCCCCGAAAGCGGCCTCCAGACGACTGGATGCGCTGCCACTAAAGCCAGAGGGCTGAAAGCAAAGCCTCAGGTCTTCTTACAAGTAGGCCTTGTCAACAAACAAGTCAATTAGCCTCAACCACTATCAGGTTCTCAATGGCAATTTTTAAAGCACAGGGGAAATTAATTTCTCTTGTTCGTTTGCATTTCCATTCACAATGCTCTTTGATGCAGTTACCCTTTAAGACAATGTCAAAGCTTCTGCATCCCAAATACAGTTACTACCCAATTTTTTATGTGGTTTTGCTAGAGGTGTTTTACATATATAATATAATGATATATTTTACACTATTTTGAATCATAAATCAAGATTATTGACCAATTTTGACCGAGTGTCACAAATGTCAATATGACTCCTCGTCTTAGCCTTTAAATGCCTCCTCAAATTTGGCGCAAACACTTGGACTCAAGGATGAACTGAATTCAAGAATTCATATGCTACTTATGCCAATTTCACAGAAATGTTTTATAGGATAACATTATGAAGTAATGACATTTTTGACATTTTTGACAACATGACTGGTTGATGGAGGCATACAACCACAAGGCAGTAATTCTAGTTTCAAGTCTATCTTAATACAATGCTCACTTGCCATATGTGCGATGACGGAGATCTTAATTGCTGTAATGAAGAAATCCCTCGAAAGAGCAACGGCACTAAAGGAAGTAAGGGACAAAATCTGCTGCAGAAATTAATTCAAAATTCAAAACCGAAACTAATACATTGCTTCAGCAATTAGTTGTATTAAGTGTGTATCTTCATTCTGGGAGTTGTTTGTTGGTTATCTGCTGGTCCTGCCAACAAGTCGACATGCTACTGCTGTCAACGAGAAAAGATTTTTTTTCTCGAACATATTGTTCTTTTCTGTAGCCATGTTGGTTTTTGTCTGTCACCATGTTGGTTTTTGTCTGTCACCATGTTGGTTTTTGTCTGTCACCATGTTGGTTTTTTTCTGTCGCCATGTTGGGTTTTTTTGTCGCCATGTTGGTTTTTTTCTGTCGCCATGTTGGTTTTTGTCTGTAGCCATGTTGGTTTTTCTCTGTCGCCATGTTGGTTTTTGTCTGTCGCCATGTTGGTTTTTGTCCGTAGCCATGTTGGTTTTTGTCTGTCGCCATGTTGGTTTTTGTCTGTCGCCATGTTTGTTTTTGTCCGTCGCCATGTTTGTTTTTGTCCGTCGCCATGTTGGTTTTTGTCTGTCGCCATGTTTGTTTTTGTCTGTCGCCATGTTGGTTTTTGTCCGTTGCCATATTGGTTTTTGTCTGTAGCCATGTTGGTTTTTGTCCGTTGCCATGTTGGTTTTTGTCTGTAGCCATGTTGGTTTTTGTCCGTTGCCATGTTGGTTTTTGTCCGTAGCCATGTTGGTTTTTCTCTGTCGCCATGTTGGTTTTTGTCTGTAGCCATGTTGGTTTTTGTCTGTCGCCATGTTGGTTTTTGTCCGTCGCCATGTTTGTTTTTGTCCGTCGCCATGTTGGTTTTTGTCCGTCGCCATGTTGGTTTTTGTCTGTAGCCATGTTTGTTTTTGTCTGTAGCCATGTTTGGTTTTGTCTGTCACCATGTTGTTTTTGTCGTAGCCATGTTGTTTTTGTCATAGCCATGTTGGTTTTTGTCCGTAGCCATGTTGGTTTTTGTCCGTAGCCATGTTTGTTTTTGTCCGTAGCCATGTTGGTTTTTGTCTGTCGCCATGTTGTTTTTGTTGTAGCCATGTTGTTTTTGTCATAGCCATGTTGGTTTTTGTACATAGAATTCTTGGTTTTTGTCTGTAATCACCTTAAAGCATACTCTGCTTTATGGTCTGTTTGAATCTAAATGGACCATCATTTACTAAATGAGCATCATGCTGTATTGAAGAAGACTTGAAACTAGAGATTGAGGCCATAAACTCATGTTTACAATGTTTACTGTGGTAATAAATCAAGTGAGAAGTAGAGTCATTTTCTCATAGACTTCTATACAACCAGACTTCTTTTTGCAACAAGAGGAGTGACAAATGGAAGTCTAAGGCACTTCTGCATTGACTTCATTTTTCAGGCCCAGAGGTTACCACCAGGTACAGATGCATCAGTTTCCCAATAACATCTTTGAGAACTTAAAAAAAGCCCTTTCCAAGACATCCAAAAAATGAAGACATAGTTTTGTAGCTATTTTTTTTTGCTGCTTCTACATACTGTAGGTAGGAGTATTACATTCGTCTGCAATTAAAATGTCATTGTTTTTTGCAAGAAGCATCCCCCACTAAAGCAAACAGAGAGCCGTAGCCAACACAGTGAGATCGTGAAGTATATTTGTTATTTCTGCTTCACTTTTCAAGGTTCCTGTCTGTGTTGACATAACCTTTAACCTCTCCAGGTGTGCTGGTCACCTACGTCTCCAAAAGTGTCTGTCTTCTTTTTTCTCTTTGTCTTTTTTGTTTTTTAAGCATTTTTTTTTCTCTTCTCTTTCTCTGTATTTGGTGTCCCAGTCCACAACCCCTCGTCCACTCATGTGTCAGTCATATACACACACTGTATATCTTTCTGTTCATCTCTACAATGCTTATCCTTCTGTCTACACATGATGGCAGCTCTCTGTCATTGTTTCATGTGCTTTGCTTCGTTTGCACCTCTTCTCTTGGACATGTGAGACAGCTTTTTATGTTTGCCCTGTTGTTTGTGAGAGGATGTGCCTGTGGATGATGTTGTTCATATACAAGACTTTACCTGGAACAGAGAGATGCCTCTTGGTCCACTTATCTGTCAAGACAAAATAATTATGATATCAAATACACACACTGTGGATAGTTGGCTTCAGTGCTCAATGATAGCACTTTAACACACTAATTTAATTGACGAAAGGCTCCATGATGACATTTAAGTACAGTATGTACTACTCTATATGTATCTGAAAATCAAGAAAATTACACTAAAATGCCTCAAAACTAAGTGGTGAGTAAATAAAGAGAGACTGTGACTGAATTGTGTCAATTCATTTCAACTCAAGGTCCAATCACAAGCTTTTCTGGTGCTTTCAACCGAGTCTCACAGCTGTAAAAGATGGGGGATCCATTGTTAATTCTCAAACAATGTCAGATGAAGTGGGTATGATTGTTCTTGCTCACCCTGATGTTACCTTGAATTCTTGAAGGAAACATTGTTATTCTCTCATGCTTCCATGGTGAACGGAGAATCCAAAAGATGAAAACAATTCTGGATGAATTGAATAAATGGAGGCGAAACTATATCAAAACATCACAACAACACTACGGACTCTCACACAACTAGTGCAGCACAATCCAAGTGTCCTTTATCCTGTCCAATGCTCACTTCTTCCCAAACACATGCATATTTACTAAAACCTTTGGACTCGTCTTGACCTGTCTGGACTCGCATGGACAAGTAGCACGCTTGCGCAAGAGTGAGACTGTTTATGCAGAAGTGTTTTACATCAGTCATTCCTAAAAAATGGGTCGGGACCCAAAGGTGGTCGCAGGAGAGTCTATCTGGGTCGTCAAATAAATGAGCAGAATTCTGTCCATGGTCTATTATTTAATATTTATATCTGCGGTACATGACGGAGCCTGTTCTTATTGTTCTGATAAATGTAGCGTATTCATTACATTGAATCTAATATGAAAGGCTAGCATACATTTTTCTTTTCACTGATGAGAGTAAATAAAAAGAATCAAATAGCCTGTTAACTGTTTGGTCTCATTTATGAAGTATTTAACGTGTATATGTTTTCAACAACACATACATAAAACAAAGCTGTGATTTATCAAACGCATATGTCTTTGAAATTGCTGCTGTAGCTGTTCAAGATAATGGAAGATGATGTGGTGTTCATTTGCGCACAAATCCGCTCTACTAGCGCTCTACAGGTTCAGAATGTAAAAGGATGTTCTGCTGTTGTTAAACGCATTCCGCATTTACTTCAGTCCATCAAGACTCTCCTCCGCTTTTGGATTCTCCGTTCACCGAGGAGGAATTTGAGAAAAGTTTTCTTCAAGAATTCAAGCTAACACATGGGGAGTGACTGATACAGGTGATCTTAGGGATGAAGTACTCCTTTAATGTAGCTGAGTACTTCTGCTGACTCATCAGTCAGGCTCAGTATAGTTTGTGACTAGTTTCCTCACTTCACACATCTTTCAGGTCACTGCAATATCTACCGACTCTTAGCCTTCCCATTACTCACCACACAACGTTGTACCACAGATGATGAGCCACGTGTTGCTCATTCTGTTCCACTGGTCAGCAGCTGTCTCCCACTGTTACCATGGAAACATGTCTCTTAATTATCAGATAGCCCGGGTGGTTCGGGGATGTTTGGTATTAAATCAGTCAATCTGACTCATTACACAGCAGTGAAAGTACATCTTCAGCCCCAGAAGTCAGAGTCCTTGAACACTGGAGGGAAACTCAGTCCTTATTACTTAAATGCCGTGTTGTCATCAGGTGGTGGGTAAGTGGACCAACAGGACAGCCTTTAATGCCATATTAGCTCATCCCTCCATCGAAAAATGTGGCTAAAGGAGCACAAATTTCCAAGGTGAGTGTTTGACTAATCCAATCAGGGGAAACCATCTTTATGCGCTCATTGATTTTGGGGCCCGGCGGCTGAGCTCGCTCAGAGTCAATGGGCAGAATAAATGTGGGTAGCAGCTTGCTGACTGCTTCGGCGTGCCTAATGAAGTCTGCTTCTCGGCGAGCCTCGGCCTCCTTAACGCCGCCTTAATTTCACCGGCTCTGAAGGGCTGCAGCAGAGCTAAGGACAGGGAGGGCTGTGTGTGTGTGTGTGTGTGTGTGTGTGTGTGTGTCTGCTTCTGTGCTTCCATGTGTGTGTGTGCCGACTGGAAACACAGGAGTAGCGCTGTGTCGTACAGTCGCATTAAGATTCGCACCGGTGATGTGTCTCTTTGTGCTCATGTGAGAGTGTGTCCTTATGATTGTGTGCACTGCATTGTTATGTGTCATTTGAAGTGTGTGTGTGTGTGTGCTTGTCACCTCACTGCACAGGCCGTCGTCTCTACTGTGATGTTCTCACTCGTTAATGGATAAGCAGATATTGGCCTGTTTTACTCTCTCTGTTTCTCCTTGTCTTCTTCCTCCTACTCCTTATTTTGCCCCTCTTGTTGTTTCTTTTTTTTCTTCTTCCTTTTCACTTTATCTTAAACCCCTCTATCATCATTGCACTCCGCCATCCAAATATCACAATCCAAAATGTCACCACTCAGATCAACGGGAAGGTTGGTTTTCTTCACTCTTTACCCTCCCTAAAGCCGAGGCCTGGCAGACTGGAGCCGTGCTGCGCCAGCGTCTCGCTGGGCGCCTCAGGCCCGTCCCGGCCCCTCTCTCAGGACCCCAACCCTCTCAGTGCACCCCCCTTGCTACCCCAACTAACCCCCGTCCCCCACCCCCCACAATATTTGCTGCCTTGCGCCACATCCCATGTTGCTCCATGCAGCTTGTTCCTCTGACATTTTGTGAAAGGGGCATGTCTTCAATACCAGGGATGTGCTTTTTGTCCAAAAGATGACATTTCCTCACCAGGAAAGAATTACATGGAGGAGGTGACACTGAGATCAAATTGTAGGAAGTAGGAACTGTATGAGGTGAAATTCTTCTTTTCCACTGCAAATGTTGCAAAGTGAGAGAAGTAATATCCGTAATATTCGACATTAGGGCAAAAATGTGTTGTACTTGAGGCCATCTGCGATGCCGAACTGATATCATCAGATAATTAGAACTAGTGATCGCAACATCTGAGTCGTCCTCGCAGCGAGTGGGATGAATGTGCCACTTGCTTAACTAGCCGGGTAGAGCCCTTATTTGTGCTGTTGTCACACACCTCACAGCTTTTGTGATGAAGGAAAACAATCTTTACATAATTCATGCCCACAACATACTGGGTTCAAAGTTTGTGCTCACTTCACAAAATGTCAGTCCCATGATGTCCTCTCTAGCATGCTGATCATGTTCTTATTGTCTCGGCTAATTCAAAGGCATGGCTCGTCCCAGCTCTCATCTGCTGTCTGACCATCATTACACTCAGCCGCAGCCTCTGAGCTCAAACTGCTTTTACCAGGCTCTCCTCTTATCTCTGTCTCCTGCAAATCTAGACTCCAAGAGAACGAAATAGCCTCAAACGTGTTTACTGCCTTTTTCCAAGACTCCTACTGCTGGTTCATTAAGAGGAGAGCGTCGAGGAGCTCTACCTAACTACTGAGAGAACTGCCGCCCTCGCTGCACTACTTTGTGTTTGATATGTGGATTTGCAGACTTGTGATGCATCTTTTGTTTGTTTTCTTCTTGTTTCTTTCTGGCTTTCTGTCTGAGGTCAGAGAATGCGTGGAGAAATTCTGCATGAGCGCAAGTCATCTTATATGTAAATTTAAACACTACTCTGGTTGTTGTTACCTGCAACAAGCCACTTTAGTTTTATTGTAGTTCTGGATAAAGTGGCTCTGATTTTGGGAGCTGCAATAGTGGCAGACATGAAAACTAGAGAAGCAAAGAAAGGCAGAAGAGACTGTAAAGGAGAATGAATGGTTTTCATATAGTTTGGGAAAAACAACATACTTTCAATAAAAATGTATTTAGTGTAGCTCTGTGACTTCAAATGTAATCATATCAAATCCAATTAAAGTACAATTTATTAAAAGAGGATTCTAGGGAGCGCCTGGTAGCCGAGTGGTTACAGTGCACGCCACATAACCGCAACACCCGGGGTTTAATTTCTCTCTCTCTCTCTCTACACTGTCCTCTGTCAAATAAAGGCCAAAATTTCCCCAAAAAATGTAGTTGCAGAAGTGTGACCAAATAAAAAAATCACCTTTAAACCAAAAACCTCAACTACACTCTTGTAAATATGGATTCCAGAAAGGTTCTTCCTGAGGGGGTGAAGTTCTACCCAGAACCATTTGCTTCTAAGAACCCTTTTGGAGGGCAAACAACTGTGTGTGACCCATGATGGTTATGGGTTGTTCTCGGTAGAATCCCTGCAGCGGGTTTCTAGATGGAACTCTTGGAATATAAAAGTGTTCTTCCTAGATCCCCTTGGGTGGGTTCTAGATGACACCTTTGGAATACAAAGGGGTTATTGGTAGAACCCCCTGGGTGGGTTCTTGTTAGCACCCTTAGAGGGTGGAAAGGTTTCTTATAGAACCTTCAGAGAGTGTTCTGAGTTGAACCATTACATTAAAAAAGGGTTGTCTAAAGAATCCCTCATAAGAGGTTGTGGATGGAACCTTTCACTGATGGTTCTAGGTATGACCCGTTATGTTGGGTTTGAGGTAGAACCCCCTGAAAGGCTTCCTGGTCAAACCTTAATAAACGGTACGACCTGGAACCCAAAAGTGTTCTCCTATGAGGAAAGCCGCAGAACCCTATATGGTTCTGGTTAGCACCTTTTATTTATAGGGTATCCAAGAGAGGACTTTTGTCTAAAAGCCTCGTGTCACTTTTTGAGTTGAAGGTGTACTATTTCTACTGTCTTCGTCTAATGAATCAAAAGCCACCCATACAATTCAAGGCTGTGTGCAGTCCTGAGATAGAACCATCCTTCTGTATAAATCACATCCTGTCTGAATAGGTTAGTGTGCAACCAATGGACTAAAGCTAAACCTATGCTAGCTGAACTTAACATAGCAGATCATAACTCACTTTGACTTAATTTACCTTAACTCATTTTAATTTCACTTGATTTGTAGTCACACATTCTAATGTAAGTAAGTGTGGCTGTAAAAACAGAACTTAGACAGGACCTTTAAGGGAAACTTCTGCTTTTGTACAACTCCAAACTATAGTCAGTTGTTCTGGAGTTGAACCTGAAGGTTATATTTTCACCCAGAAGCTACAGTGCTGGCTGAATAAAGGCTCATTCATTCTCCTGTCAGCTTCAGCATGGAATGTATCATTCACAGAAAAGGCATACAAGTTCTCAGAATAGGAAGTTACTTTTGTCTCCACTGAGATACAGTATATTGTATTGTATTTTCTACTTTCTGTGTCTCTTTTACCCAATAAAAGGAAAAGGAAAGGAGCATGATTAAAATGATGAATCGCTCAGTGCAGGGCCACCTCTAGAAATGTTGGCTCAACAACTGCTTTGACACAATGAGCACATCCCTGGCATGGTCCAGGGATGTGCAACTCCCGGTGCACTGAGACTCCATTGGCTTAATGCTGTAATTGGATGGTGCACTTATCATCACATTGTCATGGCCATGCTGATCGATGCTTTGGACAGCATGCAGCGACTGGATGTTATGCACAGAAGCACAATCTGTACATCAGCACAGATTTATTCCCACTTCTGCTTTCCAAGCTGAGTTTCTTATCTGAGGGCACCTCATGCTTCTCTGTGCCGCAAGCATCTCGCTGCTCAAGGTCACATTTCAAATGTTGTCTTCTTTTTTCAACAACATGATACTGATTACTTTTTATGAAACATCAGGACTGAAATTGGAAAGCACAATGAATCAGGCGATATGATAATGTTTACATGATGGTGAGTTTTGATGAAACAATGTGGATTATTTCTGAAAGGTGAATATTTCATTCACAGCAAGTTCAACTGGGAGTTAGCTCCTCGTGTAGCAACTTACACTGCCTCGAGTGAAGCTGCATCATCTTGCTCCACTTGACTTTGAATGTATCCATGTTGCCTAAATGTTTGTTCTTTAGTGTCTCTTAGAAATAAGTCATTCCCAGAGGTAACAGGGGATTTGGTCCAAACATGAGCATAAACAAAAAAATCTGTAAACACAAATTATATTACATTCAGAACATCATAGAAAAACCGAAATTCCAGGTTGTTACTACAAAAAAAGAAATGATCCTTCAAGTTGGGCTTGAAAAGGGAAGATTTGTGAGACAGTCAGCGATCCTGCGATGCCTATCTGACATCATGTCATAGAGAGTAGCATCCAACACATCGCAACTTATAAAATATACCGTTGCTCAACCAGTGGCTCTACGCTTTAAACTATGACCCTCTACGTAAGCCTCTAGCACCAACTGTAGACACATGGGAGCGGCTTGTCAATATATGCTCATCACATAGATAGCGTCTTTTCTAAATACACTTCCATGTTCACAGGAAACATACATTTCAGCTCATTACGTGCACACTGTCTTCTAAATAAACTTCCAACGTAGGTTTACTTGATCTTAGTGATGTGTTAGGATTCCGTTTATCAGAAACACGTACAAACGTGAAACAAGTATTGTTAAATATACCGAACGGAAAATGATGCTGTGAGTTGTATTTGATCTGGGAGAAGAAAACCTTCCAGAACAACTTATTATTCTGTGTGTTACACCCACACAGACTGTAGAACCTCAACATACGGTACCAAGTAGTGAGTTCTGACTTGTTATTGTGGAAATAAAGGAAAATGATACAATGAACACTAGACTTGAAGTTGAGATGTCATCGGTCCAGTTAAAGACAAAAGCTGCTTTAACTTGCCATTCACAACATTTAGCAATGTGATGTCTATGAATCCTGCAGTAAGCATGCCACTGCCTCTCCACCTGCACTGCTGCATGACGTCCTCAGCAATGCACATGGACGTTTGCTTCCCCACCCATCGTCGCATCTCCTACAACTGCAGCTGTTTCTCTCTTAGGACTTGGCTTCCCAAATCTGGTTCTCTTGTCCCCTCTACCCCCCCTCCTTCTCCGGCCTCCTTCCTCTGGCATGCCAGTAAAAAATACAAGTTTGTCTGCATTCTAACTCTCAGCTGCTCCTGATGTGCATCTGTTACTACCTAAATGTCATTGTGGCGACTGAGTGACACATTCAGTCTCACCCTGTGTCATCCACCCATCAGGCCATTGTCCAGGCCAACAGGAGCAATAATAACATCATGTTTAACTGCTGACTCAATGAACTATTGTCATGACATTGTGACCGTCTTCCATGTCCTCGGGTAACTTCATGCTTTCTAATTGACTAATATAAGAACATGACGCTTCCCTCTGTGCTGGCCAGCACACTGATACCATCTAGTATCAGGATGTAGTACTAATCATCAACCAGCAAGCATCTCAGTCTTATGTGACTCCAATACATTGGAAGGCCTCATATTCACCTGGCAAGTGCAGATCAATATTTCTATATGAAATTGCTCTCCAGTTGTTAATCAGCATTAGTCTCAATCCCTTGGAATCCCCAAGGAGGAGCTGCATAATGAGGCTGTAGGGGTAGCCTCATTATAGCCTTTATGAGCTAGGATAGAATTATGAAGTGACGGCATGGATGTAAACACGCAACATGACTGGTTGACTGATCTCTAGTTTAGACATCGTTATGACCCTGTGGGGGTGTATTGCTCATGAACCTTGGTTCACTCTTAGCCTAAAATAAATAAACATGAACAGATTCATAATTCAACTTTATTCCATGTTCAAGTGAGAAATAACAGATCTTTGATAGTATCAGTAGTTGTAAACAGTACATTTATTACATTTGACCACAGAGGGTTGGATTTATGCTAATTAAGACTTGTGCATTCTACAGTACATATCATATTTAGAATATATTTAGGATAAATTGAGAATACTTCACAAATGTTGGCTTCACAATCTAGCGGGCCATTCCAGCTCCATACATAACCTCCCATAGTTCATTGCTGCCGAGTTGTCCTTACATTATTCCTGAGAGGATGAACAGTACAAACCACACACTTGTTATTGCACTCGTCACGTAAAACTAAAATGTTTGCTAAAGATTTAGTAGTTCCAATCCAGTACTCAGTACATTCAGTACATTCAGTGGTGATGTAACTGCTGGCCAGCCAAGGCTAACGCATCCTGTCTTAGTTCCCTACCTACTCCCACTTTGCTGTGGTAAGGATATCAACAGGTCATTTATAATGCTATGATGTCTACCAGTAAGATCTCTGACTATACCGTTTCCATTTACCAACACACACGGAGCTCTGTCACTCCCCTCTTTTGGCATCCAAATTGTAAGTGTTTCTTTTTGCACCCTTCATCCGGTACATCGACATCAAGATGCAAAGCTTGTTTATAGTCGTCAAAGCCAATCTTACTTTGAAAGGATTCAGCTAAGAGGCAAATATGGCTGAAACACTTGGCCACATTAGAGACAGGCCACCTGTGTGTGTTGCAAGAGGAATGGGGATATCAAATGTCCAGACCTGGCTTCTGCTGTGCACCTGCTGAAAATCTAATAGCACCAATAGATTCGTGTCCCATATGCTGCCATGCAATAACAGTTTGGCATGAGAGATACAATTCCCCCATGATTTTAGGGGCAAACCTACACTGAACTCTTTTTAGTCTTAATATGGCATAATACATGTTAAATATATATTTTTAGCATTCATAAGATATATTTATAGTATTTATTGGCAGTAATGGAATATAATATTCATATCTATGTTTTTATTAGTGTATAGTGTTAGTTTAGAATGAGTCCTTCATATCTACGTAGGGAGCTGGTCCTCTTCACAGTCCTTCATGTTGCAGCGTCATGTTTCTACAGGAGCCCAGAACGGACAAACCAAACAGCGACTCTAGAGAGAGACTGTCACCGTATTCTCTGGCATGTTTGGGAAGGGAGGAGTAAGCAGAGTGGTATTTGATTGGTTGCAATCCGCAACCTCACCACTAGGTATCACTAAATGCTACACACTGCTCCTTTAATGTAACATGTCAAAGAAGTTAACAAAAATGACAAAATGACACAATAAATACAGCATTTTCAAAGTAATTTGTGACTTTTATTAATGTAGTCATATGCTAATTAATTACAGCAGTGAGTTTATAAAGTCAGAATTCTCAGCGTGAAGTAACACGGATTCACTGATCATTGGTATTGATCAATTATGGAATCGACCTAGAAAGTTAACATCTTAGCTGTCGGGTTGCAAACATGTGAGTTGACTTTATTGCACCTTAATTAAACAGAGGTCCTCTATCATCAAAGCCACAGTAAAACAATGACCCTAAATGACCCTGCAGTTTGCCCCGAAATCCTCCTCGACAATCTTGTTGCCCCTTTCCAAAGCCCTCTCCCTCCTCGCCTCCTCCTCCTTTTCCACATTATGTTCTCCAGCGCTTCAGCCTCCACAGGACTCCGTCTTAATGCAGCTATCTGCATTTCTGAGGCCGCTGCTCCCCATGCCAGCAGACAATGCTGTTCTTGTACAAGCAGTGCCCAAAGAAAGAAATGCTCTCTCTCCTCCGCCACAGTGACATTCAGCCCATGCATGTACTCCAAAGCTCACTGAATGTTGTCAGTCATTTTTCAACCAACGTACTACTACTTTCCAGTTCTCAACTCCAGCCTCATCACTCCTACATTTTTTTGTTTTTTGTAAGTGAGAGGCCGAGTGATAGAATTTGTAACCCCGCTCTTTCCCCTCTGTAGTTAAACCAAGACCAAACCCTTAGAGAAGCCTCTGATCCACATCGTAAGCTCCTCGCGCCCGGATTCCAGCCCGCAGCTTAAATCCCACTTTGTGAGTCAGATTTGCGTGACCCTGTGCTCGGCTAAATCAAGAGAGCGACGGCTCCACTTATGCAACACAGCCGCGTCAGCATGTTTAACGCTCACACGGTACTGTCGCGCCAACTCAGACGTGGCGTAATGAGATCAGAGCGCCAAACAAGAGGGCTAACAGTAGGGGTGAGACTCCTTCAGTGTTCTCTCCAGCAGACTAGCAACACGGCAGAATCAAGGTGCGTTTTAATCCCTGTAGGTCCAGCAGGAAACCCCCAGATACTCCAGAGGAATCCAACTTCACGCCTCAGGCACAGGCGCTCAATTTACTCCATTTCCACGTGAACACGGCGAACACTAATTTAATTGTGACATGTAGTAGAGAAGAGCCAGAATAATACCAGGTAATGCCATTTTAACATCATGTGGCTCTGAGAGGGTGAGCCAAACTAATCAGTTGGTCCCAGACTGCAGTAGAGAGTTCCTGCAAGAGGGCTCTCTTCGGTGAGACCGAGATGCTTCAGAAAGGGCATTCAAAAGGTTTAAGGTGTTTATACGAGCATTTCTATTGCCTCTCAACTTGGTGACAGCCGAGCCGGCGGCTTGCAGCTAACGGTGCTACTGCTTGGTTCACACTTGCTGTAGTGACGGCGTCGAGGAGCTCGCTCCAGAAAATGAAGTCGTACCGGCTTTTGGTCGAATGTGAATGTACCGCAAGTTGTCACGGCGCTTTGTCATGAACCTCTACATTTCTGTAGCTAGCTGCCTGGAACTATTAACATGTCTGGGGATTTTACAAAGACGGCCAATTAGTTTTTAAATGCTTTACCAACCATTCATTAATGTGCACTATCAAATAAACCAATAACAAAAAGAAGAGCCGGAGGTCTTAAAAGTCTACATATGAGTCAATATTTTGCCAGCCAAATGAAATGAAGAGGAAATTCCACCTTTGTTTCTTTAGAATGTGTTAAATATGTTGCTTCCTTCTTGACAGTGCTTCTATAAAGAGAAGCTAGTCCAGGAATGTGAGATATGACTTTACAGTTAATTACAACTCCTCCTTGGCATTGAGGAAGTTGGTTAGTTGTCTTCTTGCTTCTTCACAGAATATTTAGTTTCTATGCCCTCTGGTGTTTCTACAAGTACGGCAACAAACAGCGCGTTGAGCATCAACACATTTGTTTGCCCCAGGGTGCCACGTACAAGAAGAAAGAAAGCTGAACAGTGCGAACTACAGCAACAGTGCTATCAGACCAAACAGTGCTTAAGGGGAACCATCGGGTGTGGGTGCTGCACTTCCACGCCGACAGACGGCGTTATCAGCTGTAACCGCCGTCTGAGAGCAGAGCAGAGCGCCGGCCGTGAGCTAACCAGAGGGACACACTCACATGCACTAAAAGCACGAGGGGCCGAGCAGCTCTGATAACAAAACACACACAGGGAGACTTCACTCTCTGATCAGGCAGACATTACTACACTATATCTTCACATAGACAATAGTTGCTTGATGCTATATTAATGCTCTGAATCCTTTAAATTGCACCTTTGAGGGATTATATAAAGTGTCATCCAAACATAGTCGTAGAGGGATGAGACACGGTTAAGATGTGAATTTCATGTCAGTTTGTCCTTGAAGGCGTTCATCGTGTTGCACACAGAAAGTGACGAGTTGTCATGTACTCTACAGCCTGATCATATCCCTGTAGTGTTCTGGTGGGACAACCTGACCCTGAACTATAATTCACTGGAAGACTAGTATTTACCCACTGCCTCAAGTTTAAACCCAGCTTTGGTAAATCAGGTGCTAATTATACAAAGATTCCATGTAGAATATGATACCTTTCAATTGTGTAAATCTGTTCGTCTAAAGTATTGCAAGAGGCTACGAGACCTTAGCCGTTTTTGCTAGCACTTCATTAGCGGGCAACACGCAGGCTGCTGTGGGCTGCAGCCAACAGCAGAACAATGAGAACCTCTCTGCTTCACTGTGCTCTCTCTCTAACATCTCACTTAGCTCCCGCTTATCTCCACGCACAACAGGAGCAACCACAAAACGTCCTCTCCAACTCTGCCAAGCAGAAGCAGGCTGTCCCTCACAAAGACATGGGCAGCTGACAAGTGACTGACAGCTTCACAGCTTCTAAGCATGCAACGTGTTCACTGACATCCAGTAAATGTCATTAACAGTCTTTCACCTCAGCTCAGCTCATTTTTCTTCAACGGTAGCACATCACAGTTAAACACTAAGGTGTCACCCAGTCCGTTACGGTATACTGTTCCATTAGGGTTAGGGTAATGTAGCTGTAAAAGCAGAAATGTCTCCACTGCAAGCAATACCAATGAAAGTGAGACATGATCTTAACAAATTGATCTTAAATGAATAAAACCACTGGACCTCTTGAAGGTAGGGTTATAATTGTCTTTTAATATGTTTCTAACTCTAGACTTTAGAGGTTAAAAATCGACTTAAACTAACAGTTATGACTATGTAAACCAAAGGGCAGAATCCAAACTGAAACCGGTTTTATTGAAGCATATTCATCGAGCAGGAACTGCCTCAAATCAATTGGCTTTTTAGAAAAATGACTGTGGGACAGTAAAACTGTTGTTGTTCATGCTCGACCACCCTGAGCAGTTCATGAACACTGGAGCACAGCACAAGCCAGGCCAGTCAAACATGCCTTCAGCCCAGTGGTCCCCCACCACCCCCTCCTCTGTGTCCTCTCACACCCCCTCTCTTTACACCCTGCAGTTCGTCGCGTGCCTCCTCGTTTCTCCATCCCGCCCACCAATCATGAGGTGATGGCCGGCGGCAGCGTCAACCTGACCTGCGTGGCGGTCGGCGCTCCCATGCCTTACGTCAAGTGGATGAGCGGCGAGGTGGAGCTTACCCGGGAGGAGGAGATGCCCATTGGCCGCAACGTCCTGGAGCTCACCAACATCCGGCAGTCTGCCAACTACACCTGCGTGGCCATATCCTCCCTGGGCATGATCGAGACCACGGCCCAGATCACTGTCAAAGGTCAGACGCACTCTGCCGCTGGGAGGGTGGGCGTGTCTGAGTACAAGGTGGAGAGGTGCAGAATTTGCTTGCAGAGAAGATAAGATAGGTGCTTATATTTGCTATCATTATTAAATGCTTTCATTGGTGATATGAAAGGTTGCGATGCAACATTTTCAGATTCTGTTCTGGAGTTTGAAAGAGTCCGGTTTCTTTTTTAACTTAACTCGATCTGTATGCAAGTCCAGGGCTACCAGTCTGAAAATGAATTCTTGACCATGGGAACAGTATGTGTGACAAAATAAGCTAAACTCAAATGACCTCTCACTAGCTTTCAACTGCACTTGAAAGCTCGAAGAAAACTAGTAAGTGGACCTTTAAGTTTAGATCATTTTGACACAAATTTATATTGAAATAGTTAATATTAAGTTTTTAATATATTACACTTTTTATTTTGAAATTAGAAATTTTGCCAGTTATCATATAGAGCGAACTCTAGACTAGAGCATAGTCTTTCATTTACAGAGACCCATCATTTCATCGATGGGTGATGACGGCAAGGACAAAACTTTAACAGGCAGTCACCAGCAGAACCACACCATCTGCCTCGACTGGTTAGGTTGAGAGGCAGAGATGCACAGCAACAATGATAATAACAATAACAACTCCATAAATAATATAGCTTTGTCTTATAATAATATAAAGAGTGGTTGTGGGCATCAAGCACAACCATGGCATGATCCACGGCAACCTGCAAACTCAACACTTCCTCCATGTTTAGATGTTTATTTCACCTATTCTGTTAGTACAACATTCCTGTCCTATGCTCTCAGTTAAAACTAAAACCTCTTGAACAAAAATACTGCTTTTCATTTGCTTTTTTATTTATATTGCTATTTTATTCCAATCTCGGTGAAGTTATTGCCACTTCGTCCATAGACATTCCACATTGAACGCCTCACACATACACGTACAGGCACCTCATGTCTCTCTTTCCAGAGTGGGTTTTTATTGTAATACCTGATGAACCTGATGAAGGTTGTGTGGACTGGGATGTTTAAAAAAACCAAGTATACCAGCAGTAAATGGTCTCAGCTTGTGGTGCTGAAGGAATTCCATGATATTAATATCATTAGGCAATCATATTTAGGCCGTTCAAACACTTTTGAATTACAGATGGTCTAATAAGTTGAGGTTGCCTCCGCATTGCCCCCAGCCGTAGTTACTCTGTCAGTGGCAGTGTGTGGCCTACAGCAGTAAACAGTGATAGCTGTCAGGCCATGGATGATGTCATCTATATGAGCACCTCTGGTTTGATACAGTTTTGTTCGGACACAGATACATGGATATTTAGATATTCAGATGTTGCCTGTTAGCCCTTAATCATGTCAACGATTATGCTGGTTACGATTAAGAAATCCATTTCTACAATATATTCATTTATGTGCATGAATTAGTCTTTTTTGTTGTTGCTCCAAGACACCTGGCGGGCTCCATATGAAATGGATAATAAGTTTTGTTATATCTTGTAAACATTCTGGACAGTAGTGCTCTGCTGTGTGGCTGCAGAATATGTATGTGCACCTCTGATGATCTCCAGCTGCGGTGAAGTAGGCTACAGATGGATTTACATGGCATTACACATGCTTGGCAACATGATACATGTGGGGCAGACGGGCTCCTGAATGACAATGAACTAGCAGTGTTGAAGAGCTCCGTGTTCTCAGAGCTTCAGTATGTGTTCCTTCAGAAGGTGACTGGTTCTTTCTGCTCTCTAACAGCCCTGCCCAAGTCGCCCACTTCCCTCATTGTGACAGAAACCACGGCCACAAGTGTCACCCTAACCTGGGACTCTGGCAACCCAGAACCGGTGTCCTACTACGTGATCCAGTACCACGCCAAACTGTCTGACAATGGCTTCCAGGAAATAGACGGAGTGGCCACCACCCGGTACAGCATCGGCGGCCTCAGCCCCTTCTCGGAATACGAGTTCCGCGTCATGGCCGTCAACAACGTCGGCCGGGGGCCTCCCAGCGCCGTCGTGGACACCCGCACAAGCGAGCAGGCCCCCTCCTCGCCTCCTCTTCACATCCAGGCGCGCATGCTGAGCTCCAGCACCATGCTGGTCCAGTGGAAGCCTCCGGAGGAGCCCAATGGCCAGATCAGGGGATACCGGGTCTACTACAGCTCCGATCATGACGCCCCGCTCAGCGCCTGGCAAAAACACAACACAGATGACAGCCAGCTCACCACCATCTCGGGCCTCACCGCGGATATCACATACAGCCTGAGGGTGCTGGGCTTCACCTCCGTGGGAGACGGGCCTCCCTCTGATGTTCTGCAGATCAAGACCCAGCAGGGAGGTGAGAACACACTCACTGTGTCGGGAACACTCGTCACATTGCATTTCAAGCGGCGTGCCGCTGGCTCCCATTCTTTTCCAACAGAAGTATTGCCAGTAAGAAGATAATAATTATGAATTTACTTCAGTTAAAGTAGCAATTCCACAGTGTAAAAATACTTAAAATGCTTTTTTGTTGTCGCTTTGGAATAAGCTGCAAACACAACATTGGTTATTAGCCTCATGGTTATTAGCATTAGTCTGTGTTGACCTGATGAGTCAGTGTAACTCCAGCTTTAGCTGTGTCCCAGTTCAATAGCTATACAATCATTGTGAGCAAGATTTGAGTTTTCAATGTTTTCACATTACAAAAGTGGCAGAAGAAAGTTCACTCAGAACAGTGTACACTAACACACTTGCACAATGCACAATGAGAGGCAACTCATAGCTTCAAGCACAGATAACAGTAGGACTACTGTTGTTGGATGATTTATCATCCCAGAAATATGTGCGATAAACACTGTAATTGTCATTTTAAGAGCATTTAATATAGAAAAGCATAATAAAGCAGGTACACCCTTTTGAACAGCAATGCACTTTGAATTCTATATATTATATATATTCAGTATATTCAGACATTGGAATTGGAACGTGAAAGAAATATTTCAATATTGTAAATAAGTAAAACAAATCAAACCAAACAACCAAAATAAAAAATAAAAAGTACTCTTGGCATCTGAGGACAAAAATATGCACACATAGAACATATGTCCTTTCAATGGAAGGAGAAACTCTGACACAATGTTGGCAAAAATGAACAAGCCGACGACAACAACAATATGAAGGTAATGTCAATATATGTTACAATAATAATAATACAGTAATGTCTTTATATTGCACGATAAGACGAGAAGGTAAAATAAATATCGAGGGCATGTCCATACATCATACAATAAGTTGATACGTTGTGTTTTAAGTTGTTAACTTAAAAAATGTCATGTTGCATGATGAGTCGATAACTTAAAAATGATAGAGGTCATGTCCATATATCGTACAATAAATCGTTTACTTAAACACATATATAGAGGTCATCGTATGATAAGTTGATGATGTAAAGATGATCGTAGGATAAGTCAATATTATAGATATGGTCCAGGCTACGTCCATATATCATACGACAAGTAGATAACGTAAAGATGATCAAAGTCATTTCCATATATAATACTATAAGTTATAAGCAGTAATACGGTAAAGAATGGGTTGGGTTTATATTGCAGAGTCTCAGTATGATTGACTTTACCTGCAGAGGTATTTCTTTGTCGATTGATGACATGCTGTCACAAATAGTGTAGTTTAGACTTAATAAACTTGGTCATTGCACCTCTGGTGCTCTATCTTTTAGAAACACCAACACCGACAAAACCAGCAGAAGGACATAACCGACATAGTCATCTGCACTGCTGCATGTAGCACCTCTAACATACTGGAAGTGTCGTGCAATTAGAGCGCTGCGTCGTGTAGATTGATGCCTGACTGTTTGCATCCTGCTGCACCAGTGTGTCTGTGGAGTGGAAGTTATTGGTAGCATACAGTGTCTGGGGTAAATGTAGCCACACTGTGTTTAACTCACATCGTTTGTGAAACTGCAGAAAAACAGAGCTTTAATGTGAAACATTAGTCTGTCAGATATCCACCAGCTGGGATGAGCACAGTGGGGTCATTGATGTGCAGGATACTCAGGAGCATACAGTATGAGTGTGTGTACTATGAACTTCTCACACACTTCATCCTCAAGGACAAAGTAGAGGAATAATAATAGTATTTCATTCACAGAGAGCCCGTTTCCATGTTCTCCACTTGCTCTGCTTGGCTGGAAGAAACATGACACAAACAGCAGGGCTGCAATGGTAGATAAAGCCACCCAAATTCAGCTGACCCACTTTATTTATTTTTGGAATAGAGTTCAGCACCCTACCAGGCTGACATAAATCATGTTGACTTAAATGCAGATTACAAAGTCTGGTAACTAGTATCACACTGAGAAGGATGGGCTTGTTTTTATGAGCACATCGCTGCGATTAATGTACAATTTTCCCAAGTTGTGGCATCTATTATGTTTCTGTCTACTTCATGGTATAATCTGGAGCAATGAGCCGTTTTCCTGAGCTTGGGCGAAGAATCACTGGTTTATGATTTGCTACTTTTATAGGAGCCTCCAAAGCAACGCATGCAGGACAATCTCTTCAAGCATTTGTTTCTGTAAAGAAATAACAGAACACAGTGGCTTCCTCACTGATCGTGAAGACTCTTCTTTAATGAGGGGATGCTACTGTCATTTCTTCTTCTCATGGTACTGATTCTAAAATACACCACATGTGATATGTTATTACAGTTAGATACAGGTTAGTTGATGGCAGCCGCCTGATCGTTCTTATCTTTAACAGTTACCTCTCAGGACTTTACACAACCTGGCAGGTATTGGGGTCAAAGTTGTCCCAGTGTAACCCTAACATTACACTCGGAATGACTTAGGCTTCAAAACACAATGTACTTGTAAACAGACTGGTCTCACTCCCTAACAGACTAACTCCTCTGTAAATCCATCTGAGTGACTTGTAGATGCTCAATGCAACAGATGGAGTATAAAGCAGCGGTGGACTCATGCTGGCAGGGGCAAAAACAAAGGAAGAAAAAGATGTTTTCTAGCATGCAGTGCAGCCTATATGGCACTGCATCATGTTTTCTCCATTTGAGGGCATCCAAGAGGACACTTAATCATGTTTACTCCACCAGAAGATCACGCTAGAGGCACTTCACCCTGTTCTCTCCACTGGAAGGGCATCCAAGAGGGCACTATATCATATCTTCTTCTGGAAGGGCACCCTAGAGGGCACTTTTCTGTATTTCTTTTGAACCTTGAGGCACCAAGGCCCCCCCGGCCAGCAACGTTATAATTTTAAGCTAAACTATGATGTTTTTTTCAACCCTAACCAAGTAGTATTGTTGCATTAACCTAATGACTTCACAACATTAACCACACGCCTTCCATGACACTATGCAAAAGCCTTCCCAAGCAGCAAAATATGACGAGTAGGGATGAGATCACATTGCAATAAAAGTGGGCGTGGTGTAGGTTTTCCCACAGTTGGAACAAAAGCCAAAGGAGAGTGGGGAGATGTCAATCAAACACAGTGTGCACACACCCATACCGCCTTTATGAGAGCTCTACCAGTGTACAGTGTAGGGGCTTTAAAGCGGCATTAACTGAGCTTTCAGTTACTTTGGGGCAGTGGAACAAAACACAACACTAACAGAAGCCATTCTCAGATCAGTTGTAATGGCTGCTGCTATCTTGTCTCACCTCAGCTCCACCGTACGGAGCCATAAACTGAGAAAGATGGTAGCAATTATTAAAGCCACGAGCAAGCTTCAAACAGCCAGAAAAACACCGGTCTCGCTGAAATGATGGTTATTTAGAGAAGCTGTGGCCCCAATATTAGCATAGCACACCTCAGTAAATTCCTGCCACTCACGGACATGAGACACTTTCTGGATCTAAAATCACCTCAGAGGATTTGAAGGTGATGACGTCCTTTATACTTACTCAGTTTTGATGCTGCTCTGAATACTGATGAGTATTGACTGCAGCATCGCCCGGCCTCCCACTTCACCTCCTGACTCCCTTACTTTGTGTTTCCTCCTCTGAATGCACCCTTTCACCGTGTCTGTCTCCGTTCCTGTCTTTCACTCTCTCCATGTCTTTGTTTCGGCCTCCAGTTCCAGCTCAGCCGTCTGGTTTTGAGGCTGAGGCCGAGCTGGACTCACGCATCATGCTGTCATGGCTTTGGCCTGTCCAGGATCCAATAATTGGCTTTGAGCTGCTCTACTGGGAGGAGAACAATCCCACAAACAAGGTATATACCACCTTAAAATATGACTCTTCCAATGAGGTAGATTGATGGGATTTTACCCTAAAATGTGTTGAAAACCTTTTTGTTGTGTGTGTTTCTTTATTTCTTTCATTGTATTCATTCTTATGTGGCCACCTAACACATTGTTTGTTTGTAATTGACAATTTCAAACTACAACCCTTTTTCCTCTATTTCCATTTGTTATAGTTTGACCTTTATTTCCCACAAACGTAGCGTCGAATCAACAATGGCATCAGTTCCTTCGGATTCGATTTGTCTCAGCGAAGCATGTGAGAAGATGTTAGTGAGTTGGTGTGTTGGTTTTGTTCCTGAATTCTGGGACTGTCAGATGAAGCCCCAGATTGTAATAGTGTATCCAGTAGTTAACAGGGGGGTCAGTTGTGTGCGTATGGACCGGGGCCTTCATGATCTCATGGTCTCTCCACAGCATCATGCCACTTTCGACCCAGCAGGCTCCTATGCAGTTGATGGTCTGAAGCCAGACACAATCTACATGTTTTCCCTGGCTGCAAAATCTGAGATGGGTTTAGGAATCTTTACGCAGCCTATTGAGGCCAGGACTGCCCAATCCAGTAAGTACTCCAGCCTTCTACTGTCACTCTGGTTCTGCTTATTTGGTCCCGACAAAAAGGAAATGTAACGATTCATTGTTGCTAGTACTAGTTCTAGTAGGTTTTATGTTTAAGTGAACCAAATAGCAACAAACCAAGAGCAGTAAACATGAAGTCATATCGGCTGACAGGTGAGTCACTGGACTGCATTGGTGATGTCATCCTGCATCATCAGCGCCACATGGACACCATGCGGAATCCAATTCAGGTGGCTGACAGCAGGTCATGCTGCACTTTAATGTAGGATTGTCGTACTTGTGTGTGTGTGGGTGTGTGTGTGTGTGAGACCCACCCCTCTCTCTCCTGCTAACTTCCCAGCTGTGAGCAGCATCTGATGCTACCACGTGTAAATTAAACTGTAAGTTATTTGTTTTTAGTATTATTTGTGGCCTGTGTTGACAGCCGGATTGATTCAATTAGCAACGTGTCTGTTCTGTCAGACATGCATGAAACAGACACTCTTTTGTAGAAGACAACATTGTATCATAGTATTGTGCGTTTAAAGTCTTGTAATGCGGGAAAACACATTAGATAATGTGTGTCGTGGTTTAGACTTCACCCAATTTGGCATTTACAGCACAATGAATGCAATGAATAGACACATACATAGATGTATTCAGTGTGTCGCTGTTTCACCTCATGCACAGCAGGTCTGACACATTTCAGTCACTCAGGCTAGAGATGGCAACATATTCTCTCTTACCCTAAAAACAGAATGGACCCCAAGTAATGAACTTTGCTCTCTCTTTGACTATTTCCCCAACGTGGCACGTGCTGAGTCCGTATGAGTGCAACAATGACGTCAGAGCAGAAATAAATTACACTCCCTCTTCAGGTTGTACGGGGTCATTTCTCAACACACAAAATTTGGTTTGGGGACCAAATTTATTGAAAAAGATCTCAGTATTTATTTCCAAATAAATATCTTACCAGATAATCTGCTATTTGTTGGCGTTTAGCCATCAAAAACAACATTTTCAGTACAGTCAAAAAACGTACATAAATAGCACAAAATATAAATATACATTACATTTATAGAACCACAATAACACAAAATCAGATGTATTCTAGCATTTCGTTACTGTTTTTGCTACGCTACAAACATGCGGTGAAGCCTAGAGAAAGCAAGAGAAAAAGAGAGACTGAATACAGCTCAAAGTTCCTGCATAATTGAAAATCGTTCCGTTATTGCGGAGACACAAGGACCATTATTCTGGCCAACCAATGCGGTGTTGGACGACAATCTGGTCATACGGCCTAGGCCAGGTGGAGCTTAGCTTTGTAACACTGACTCCCAACTCAACCTGCTGTTCTAAACCAGCCTGAGCTGTGTGTGCTCACACTATTCTAGCACCACACCAGCCGTGTTATTGCAGTTTCAAGCTCGCAAAAATGTAATTACCAGCGCAGCATTAATTATGTGAAGTCATGCTTGATTTTGCTGAACATGCAACTCAATTACAAAGTTCAAGCACCAAGGCGACAACAAAAGAAAATGTCAGGAATGTTTTTTGTCAGGCGTAAAATCCGCTGCTTCCCAGGATCCATCATTCATAGGCACGCTAGTACTGCTTGATATTTCTATATTTTTCTGCTTTCTGCTGCCCTTGCGTAACAAATCACCAGGCGTTGCACACTGCTTATTTTGACAAATAGTCTAATAAAGGCGGCGAGTCGATACATACCGCATATTATGATGTAAGACCGAGGAAACACAAAAACGCTGCTGCACGGAGAGACAGCTTTCATCACTGTCATGTTTCTTCAAAATGATAGTTCATCATGTGAAACACGGCAACCGGTGTTGCCGATGTGCAGGAATGTCCCACACTGACACTAATGCTGCTGAACACCTTTCATTCAGAGCTTGACTGCATAGCTAGCGATGGATCTGTGCCTCTCTGGCATGCTGGGAGATGTGGAATTGAACCTGCAGTATTTATGACAGTTCCCAGAAGGAATCTAAGCCCTCTCTCTTGTTTTTACCTGTCAGGAGAGAAATCCCTGCGCCAGCAGTCACGCCGCAGACAAACGACTTTAGTCGCTCTGATTTTCAGTCTGCCATCACTCCTCTGGCAGCCAAACCCACCCGAGTCAGGAAACTTGCTAACAGGTGTAAAGACCCTCACCACCGCTGTCACTTACTGCTTGTGTCACTGCCTCCATCTTTTCATCTATCTGCCATCTTTGTTCTGATTGTTTACAGTATATATACTGTATATATTAGTGCTGGGCAACGATTAAAAGTTTTAATCACAATTAATCGCATGATCTTTTTGCGATTAATGGCATTGTTATGGCAAAGTTCAATAATGAATTCAAAAGTAGTGTATTGGTATTTTTTCATAACCCTGTTTCGGGCGGCGGTGCATCTCCCACTCGTGGATCTCTGTCTCTCTGATCTATTCCACCCCCTGCATGGATGTATCCAAAGGTGCTCGTACGTGTGATGGAATTACGTCTGTTCTTTTGCGTCTCTTTCAACTCATCACAAGCGCCTCTGCTGCAGGGCGAACAAACCAGCCTCCAACACTGTTCAAACAGTAGGCTCGCTGGGTCCACACGCTCTGCTGGGGCTGCCAAACCACAGGCCAGCCCGATAACGGTCCCCTGTGTTATCTCTCCCACCTGCTCCACACTCATCTCAACTGTTGGTTTTGCTGCTGTACTTGATTGAATTCTGCTCTTGTGTTTCATTGTGCATACATGCATTCATCTGTAGTGTGCATGTTTTACTTTTCAGTTGGCGACACTTCACACTGTGTTGGTAATGTGTTCACGTGTTGTTTCACAGGAAGGTAGCTAGAGTGTGAAGTTTCGCCCTGGTTTATGTCTGCCCTCTGGACTGTGAGGATGAAAACACAAGCTATAAATAAAATATGTTTAAAATTTATTTCAAGACAACAATTAAGCATTCGGTTTCAACCACATCTTCTAAAAACAAAACAAAAACATTTATGTTTTTCCTCATTAAAAAACTATTCTGGTTTATTTCTATAGTCCTATTGTCATAAGTTTAGTCACTGGTGTAATTGCTTATGATACCATTGCATTCACTAATGTTTCTGAGATCTGCTAAAAAAGGTCTGATGGCTACTGTACTCACTGTAGTCTGACTCTTTAGAGAGGGGTCATAACCAACATGTCAGATGTGGAACCTGGATCACTTAACTGCTCGCTTCTTGCCGCGTTGAACTTCTCTTGCTGCATTCCCAGATCTCAGCATTTGGCATATCATAACTGAAGAAACATGATGGACAAAACAACAAAAATAAGACTACAGTTGAGATTAACTGTTTTTTTTAAAATAATTTTAACCAAACGACACCTGGAACTGCGAACCCAAGTCTCTTGTGTCAAAATCCTAAACTTTGCAAACACAACCCCAAACCCCTCCATACACTCCTAGAAATAATGGTTCCAAATGAATTCTTACTGAAGGGCTGAGGTTCTACCCAAAACCATGTGCTTCTGAAAAATGTTTTTTTCACAGGTTCTTTGTAAGACTAAAGGTTCCATCAACAACCATTTTCATCCAAAGAACCCTCTTCTCAAGAAAGAGTTTATTACTGGGATTGATAAAAGCCTAGAAGCCCCGAAAAAACTGGAATTGGAAAACCATGATTGTTGTGAGTTGCACTGCACCACATCAGCCCCGGCCATTTAGGGCTCTATTGAAAGCCTTGGAATATGAAATGGTTCTTGGCTGAACCTCCTGGTTGGGTTATAGATGAAACCCTTGGATGATAAATTGGTTCTCAGAAGAACCCCCTGGTAGGGTTCTTGTTAGCAACCTTAGAGGGTGGAAAGCTTCTGAATAGAACCTTCCGAGAGAGTTTTGCGGTGGAATCATAACACCATTGAAGGGTTCTCTGTAGAACCTCTCATGAGGGGTTCTAGGAAGAACCTTTATAAAAGGGTACCAGTAATCTTAAAGGGTTCCCCTAGACAAGTCGAAGAACCCTACATAGTTGAAGATAGCACCTTTACTTCTAAGAGTGTATGACTTCTGTGCAGTATAAAGATTTCACACTTCCTGGATTAGGAAAAAAACACATTGCCATTGGACATTAGACGAGCTGCAATTACGTTTCCTCCAAAATCTAATGATAAAGCAAGGTCCTAGCATAAACACAATGTTAAGGACATAGACTAGCAAGTTTACATAGTCAAACTTGACTTGTCTGTTTCGGTAACATATAAACAGATTATCTCCCAGCAGTCCAGAGGGTCAGTTGCTCTGTCTTCCATTATCCACCCTGCTTGACCATTACCCTCCCTCCTCCCCTCCCATCAGCCCCCTCAGCCCCTCCCCAGGAGGTACGCTTGCTCAGCCTCAGCTCCACCAGCATCAAGGTGAGTTGGGTGGCACCACCCACAGACAGCCGCCACGGGGAGATAGCGCTCTACTCTCTAGCCTACCAAGCACTCACTGGGGAGGATGTGGAGCGCCACCAGGTGTCAGGGATTGGCGCTGATGTCACCAGCTACGTGCTGGAGGATCTGCAGAAGTGGACTGAGTATTTGGTGTGGTTGAGGGCTCACACTGATGTCGGGCCTGGCCCGGAGAGCTCCGCAGCCTGCAGCAGAACCAAGGAAGATGGTATGTTGATGGCATCAAAGGGAACAGCCTAGGGCTCTCTGGAAATACTAACTCTCCAATACTCACTCTGCTCTTCTCCTTCTGCTGCAGTTCAGTATTGCAAGCTCTCACTGAATGTGTGTTACTTTAAAAAGCAGTGAAATACTTTTACCTAGACACATTAATTAAATTCGTAGCTGGGAAGCTGCCTCCGGGTCCTAGACCCTTGACATATTTCTGATAAATTTGGTTCGGGAACATGCACCTCTGAAACACAGTACCATCGAAACCTATAACAATTGTAAAGCAAGGCAGTTGACAGTAATGCAATCCACATCCTGTGAGGAGCTACTGGCAGCTATGGACTTGGCTTAGGTGATTGTGAGACATCTCGGAGAGGCAGCTGTTCAATGCTTTGACTGCTAGAACCTGCTGGAACATCAGATCTATTAGAGAATTTTTCTTCATTGAAAGAAGAGCAAAGAACGACACTGAAGGCGTTCCTCCACGGTTAACAATATTTTCACTCTTTTGATTGACAGATGTTTTTTTACACATTCCTATTCCAGTGAAGGATTTTCAGATAGTTATGTGTAAGAAAACCTCTGGCGAGTCAGGTTACTGCAGCCCAGGAGTCAAAACTCAAACTAAGGTTTCCAGTGATTGACATGCAAATTAGGTTCGAATACAGTAAAAATGACAATAAACTGCCTTAATTTCAACAAATATTGTTTGATTTTTGTATAATCAAAAAGCGTGTGCCACTACAGTAATTAATGAGGTGCTCAAACCCTGACAATTATCCCTAGTAACTCTGTTCATATGAGATTATTATTCAGCATGCGATTTACATCCAGGACCAACATTCAGTGCCATTGCAGGAGGTGGTGTAGTGAAGGGAGAGGAGGTGGAGGATCATGTAATGCATCCAACCTTCATGTTACGCAATCCTGCTTTTTATCTTTATTTTAAAGAATTGTTCAAAATCAACATTCCGTCAGGGTTGTATAACCACATCAAATTCAAATTATTGTTGATGTTTTACATGCCAAATCTAGCAATGACATTACCCTTCTGTAATCCAATTTTAAGCCCATTTTGTGATTTGAAGTCACAGCACTTGTTGGTGCAAATTTCTTAACATTTTGTGATTCTGCTTTGTGAGACTTTAGCTGCCGCTGATCTCTTGCCTGCCTCTTTCTTCCAATCTGCCTGTCTTTTTCCCAGCATGATGATGTGGCTTTGCTGGGCTGCTGCCCTGCTGGGCTAAGTGGACACAACCCAATCGGCAGGAAAAAATGTGGGCCTTGTACGTTTCTGCAAACCTAGGATGTACTTGATGTCAACGTTTTTGCATTCGGTCAAAGTCAAGTGACATAGTATATCAAGCAATCGTTATTAAAAGTTACGCGTTAAAATAACAAGTATATTAAGGAAGAAAGTCCTCCATGACGGGAGGGGATGTGAATTGGTCAATCAAACAGGACTTTCACTCAGGAGACCGCTGAACTTGTGACTTGTAACTTGTAACTTGTAAAAAACATTTGCCAAGGCTGGTTGTTCTATATTTACGCTGTTATGTTCTCACAGTTTTACGTTATGTTGTTACGTTATTAACTCTTTTTTTCAAACCATAACCCAGCAGTTTGGTTGCCGAAACCAAACCAATTGTTTCACAACGTTATCCACGTGGCATTCTGTGTTTCTGCTAGCGTGATGCGAGGCTGATATGAAACATATTTGAGAATCGTCGACCTTCTATGTATCCCGTGTTGTGCTGAAATGCACAGTGCCAATATATTTTCTGTTGACTGGCTGTCTAGAGAGAAGCCTGAGCGGGAACATGACATGTTCTTTTTCTGCTTTCAGTCAGATAAAAGTCAGAATGGCCACTGTGATTCAGTCCGTTGGGAGGTTCTGCCATTCGTAGCACACACCCATTATTACTGTCACTGCTGGAGACAACTCAGAAGCAGAACGCAGCACAGCCCAATGCTCACAGCTATACGACAGACACCATTACATCAAATCCTTACAAGCGGATTCACCTTTTTTTGTGGGTGCACAATTGGCCATATCATGACCAATGAGAGTAAAGAGTAATGGGCTCTTTTGTGAAGTCAGTAGAGGAAGTCAAAGTATCAAAGGCTAAGTCCTGGACAATATCAGGGCGGCTTAGAAAGTATAGCAGCATAGTGTGGAACCTCTCCTCTGTGAAAGCTCACTGTTCTGACTGGCTCAGGCTTCTGACTGCTTTCACATGAACTCCATTTTCCTGAGTCCTTTTTTTCATTTTCCTCTTAATCATATTAGTCTTACGAATGTCAGGATCCATTTGATTGCCAAGTATTGTTTAAATTGTTCGTGAATGAATGGTAATTATGAAAGGAAAATGGAAAGAGAGGGTGATTGTGTGTGTGTGTCTGTATGTGTATATATATATATATATATATATATATATATATATATATATATATATATAGGTGTGTGTGTGTGTGTGTGTGTTGTTAAGTCTTATAGGCTCTTTGTTTGTCAATTTGTTAAAATGATTGAAGCAGTCTGAACTAGTAAAAAAAGAAAAAATTAAGAAATCTCAAATGTGTTTCTTTCCCCACTCAAAAGCACTGTGGAAGTCAGTGGTGGGTGGATAACCGAATGAATACCTTATTTTTGTACAGAATTTTGTTTTTATTTAGCCATGAACCATTTAAACCTAATGCTTGATCATGACCCAATTATTTAAAGAAATACTTCAATATTTGGGAAATATGCTAATATCCTAATATCCTGAAATATCCTTTCTGAGAGAAAGATGTTCAGATTGATATTATCAACCTTGTGTCTGTGTTAAGTACAGAGCTGGAGTCAGGCTGTGGTTAGCTTAGCTCAGCATAAATGCTGGAAGCAGGAGCCAATACCTCGAAAGCTCACTGATGGATGCCAGAATTAATCATGAACATCCAAAATATAAGCAAATGATAACCAAATTATATTTTAAACCAAAGTGTTAAAACAACAAATAAACATTGTATTTTTTGTGCTTCATATATATGTCAAAGCGGTTGTCAATGTTTACAACTTTCATGAGAGGACGTAATGGAACTATCTGTACGGAAAAGAAAAAAAAGAATTGAGGTAACAACACTCAGGTACCCTTGTGTTCTCTCTACGTTAGACAACGGTAACGTTGAGTTGCTGTGCTAGCTAGCAGCGCACCTCTCTTTAGTCTGTCTCGTGCTAACATTCTGCCTGAAAAAAGTGAGAGTGTAATACAACTACTTGTTTTGTAAAGCCCGACTGCAGCTCTGAAGATAACCGAGTCGCACGTGAACAAGCGTTCGTATGAGCGTGCACCTTCGCCAGGAACCACTGTTCAGAGTCCAGACATTATATGGGCACTCCACACAGACGTACATAGTTTGCCCTGAACACCGCTCGCTCCTCTCACTACTCCTCCATCATCCAATCTGGCTCCAACAACCCCAAAACACTTTTCTCCACCATCAACAAACTCCTCAAGCCCATGGACACCATCTCCACCTGCTTCACCACCAACAAATGCAACTAATTTCTATCCTCCTTCAACGACAAAATCATTGCAATACACAACCAGCTGGTAGCCCCCTCCCCAGGTGGCCCGGTCGCCCATGGTGCGGAGCTTGGTGTTGGGGACCCGGAGGAGCGAGTTGTTTGATGATCTGAGGGTGCGGTTGGAGATTTGGGGTGTGATGAGGTCTTGAAGGTAGGGAGGTGCGTGTCCATTTATGCATTTATATGTGAGTAGTAGGACTTTGTAGTCAATCCGGAATGAGACAGGGAGCCAGTGTAGAGAGTGCGAATGGGTGTTATGCCAACAAGAAGGGCTTCGGTTTTGCTACTGTTTAACTGGAGAACGTTGTTGCTCATCCACGCCTTTATCTCCCCAAGACAGGAGGTGAGACATGACATGGCTGCAGAGGGGCTTGGGCTAGTTTTGATGTAGAGCTGTGTATCGTCGGCATAACAGTGGAAAGACATCCTATGTCTGCTGATGACACGACCGAGGGGGAGCATGTAAATAATGAAGAGGATGGGGCCGAGGACCGACCCTTGCGGAACACCACAGGAGACAGGGAGCAGTCTGGACTTGCATCTTCCCAGTGAGACATATTCAGTTCTGCCTGAAAGGTAGGACTGAAACCACTTGAGTGCAGAGTCTGATAGTCCAATGGTGGTGTGGAGGCGCTCTAGGAGGATAGTGTGATCCACTGTGTCAAATGCAGCAGTCAGGTCCAGGAGGATGAGGAGTGAGGGTGATCCGGCATCGGCTGTCATCAGCAGGTCATTCGTCACCCTGAGCAAAGCTGTTTCAGTGCTGTGGGCTGAACGAAATCCTGACTGAAATGTTTCAAACAAGTTGTGTTTGAGGTGGTCCTGAAGTTGAGAAGCAACTACCTTCTCTAACACTTTGGACAGGAAGGCGAAGGTTGGAGATAGGCCTGTAGTTGGCTAGAACCTCCGGGTCCAGGGTGGGCTTCTTGAGAAGGGGACGGATGACAGCAACCTTGAGTGCAGGTGGGACACAGCCAGACTGAAGGGAAAGTTTAACAACTTTGGTGATCAAAGGACTGAGAGTGGGGATATGTGATTTGAGCAGAGCAGTAGGAATGGGGTCCAGGGTACAGGTACAGGGTTTCATTTTTCTGAGGATTTCCTCAACATGGCTCTCCTGAACCTCAGCGAGATGTAGAGGAGACAACACACTTGCAGGTAAGGTGTTGGTGTCAGAGGGAAGCATAGATGGAGAGCTGGACATCAGAGAGCGAATGTTGTTGATCTTGGATCTAAACAAGTCAATGAAGCTGTTGCATTGCTCCTCTGTAGTCTCAGTTGAAGAGGATGGTTGTAGCTTCAGGAGATGGTTTATGGTTGAAAAAAGCTGTTTAGAGTTGCCAGGGTTTTTATTGATTAAGCTAGAATAGTACTGTGAGCGAGCATCTTTAAGGGAGTTGGAGTAGGCCCTTTGATGCTCACGGAAAGCC